TGAAGTTGAAGTTGAAGTTGAAGTTGTTGTTGTTGTCGTTGTTGTTGTTGTTGTTGTTGTCGTCGTTGTCGTTGTTGTTGGGTTCAGCTGAGTTCAGCTTTTTGATTTTGTGATGTCGTTCCACTGGAGCTTTCCTTCCATGGCCAAGCCAAGGTAACGGGCCATGCTTTGTATGATCGCAAGCGTGGCAGCAACGTGGACATAAAGTCCTTATTCTTTGCCCCAGATCCGAACCGCCTCTTGGGCGCAATGCGGTGTTGAGTGCTTGGCGGCTGGCGAAAATCCAGCCAATAGTGTGCTGCTTTGACTTGACAGTGCACCGGTGGCATCATATATCGAAATTCGCACTGTGCAGAGGCATACAGAAGGGCTACTGTTACTGTACTGTAAGCGGTCTCCAATTGCGAAGGCTGAGTCCTTGACCGGCCAAGGTTGCATGATGCATCTCAGCTTCGAAGAGACAGCCAGCATTCGTGTTTGTTTTTGCCACGTGACGCTGGCATTCCTCTTGAACTATGTAAAACTTCAAAACTAATCGCCACCTCGGTGTTCAACGACGCTGCGTCTGTGATCAGCTTATCAAAACGTCTGCGAGGAAGTCGTACACGAACCTGAAGAAATTGGGCAGCGGTGCCTTTGGTTCTGTCTACAAAGCCCAATGCCGCCTGACTGCAGAGTGGCGCGCCATCAAGCGACTCGGTCATGATTTGGTAGCATTTGCCCTTCTTGCTGCTGGAGTCGGCCTTGTATAAGCTGAAGTGCAGACACCCCCAACACGCGTCTGTTTTTCAGCCGCCTTGAGTGTCCACGGGTTGCTGTCCTGTCGTACGGTGCAACAAAGACAAGGAAACTCCCGCTGTCGGACGTTGCCTCGTGGCTGCAGCTTTTTTTTGAACAGCGTCACTTTCCAGTCCCAAATTTTTCCTGCAGGGTGCAAACAAACTCGAGCTGAGGAGGACGACATGGCTTTCGTGCGGTCCTTCTTTTGGTGACAGCAGTGCTGTCGGGGTTATGAAGACTGCCGCGCCCGAGTAGTGAGTCGTCGCTGGCTTGCCAAGGTCTATGCGGAGCTTGAGGCCATGATTCACCTGCACCACCCCAACGTGGTCAAATTCTACGCATCTTGTCCCATCAGATTGTGGTGCACAGATTCCCTGTTTGGGCACGGTTGAAAGTCCTGGGCAGAGTTGACCCAACTCGTGAGGAGCACTTCGAAGAGGACTTCGGCCTGTTTTCTTGCTAGTTGGGTCCGCTTTTCCGACTTGCTCCGGTGGAAGACGATTCGCCTCGGACAAGTACAAGGTCGTGCCACAGGAAAAGGCGATGAACCAAGTGCTCCAACAGCTTGCAACAGAAATCCGCAGTCGTGTCGTGCCCGATACATATGTAATCTTCCGTGATGACGGTCGGAACTTGACCTTCGACCACTTGGACTGGCCAGCAATCCGTGAAAGAAGCGAAATCAGCAGAGCAGCTGACAGCTGGGTTTCTGGTCATGTCTGAAAGTGCGGCCAGGGCCAGCAGAGTTTTCTCCATGAAATGTCAAGACGAGCTTTTCCTTGCGGGCTTGCGTGGAATTGCGTACGCCCTCAGTCGATCCTCATTGTTACAGATCTTGCAAGCTAGGCCTTGTTTGGACGCTAGTGCTGCTGTCGTGGTGGAATGCATTCTGATGCCTCTGCGCGGGCTGTCCCATCAACCTCCGGGCACACGCGATGCGAGGGAGCCTGGAGTATGTGTGCGCTTGGATGCCTTCACCCGCTGTCTGCACCAGGAGAGCGCTATTTTCCTTGTCACTGAGCTTTGTGATGGTGGCGACTTCTCGGAGTTAAACCGCGGGATTGACGATCCTCAGGCACAGAACCGTTGGCAAGTCATGTCGGGCAGCGCCAGAGCTGAGCACGTTCTACTAGGAAGTGAAGCTGTTGATCCGGGACGTGGTAAAGGCGCGTGCGAGTGTTTGCGGCTTCTTGCACTTGTTTTTTCGCCTTGTGCGCATCATGCTTTCAGTGAAATCCAGGCGCTAGCATATTGCCACGACCACGGGGTTGCGCACCGATGCCCGGCAGTGGAGTTTTGGACATCCCTCAAGCGCCCGCAGCCCTGCAGTCATCTGAAGGGCGTCTTATCCGAGGAGACTTGAAGTTTGAGAACTGCCTCATAAAGGAGAGCATTCGTGACTACAGGGTGGGAAAGGCATGGCAGGGTTGTGCGGTTCTGGGATGTCATGGCACGACTTCCACCAACGTTTGTCCAGTCGTCCAACTACAGTATCGCCTCAGTGGCGATCAGCTTACTGGACATGGTTGGCCCTGAGCACTGCACTGAGCAGGTCATCGACTTCGGTCTCTCAGCGATCCGGGCTAGAGGACACGGGGGCTTTAGTCAGCAGTCTTTTCTATCGCTAGAGAAGCTCTCGGTTCCATAGTCTACACTCGATGGACCTGCCAGCTCGGCTCAATCCGGTCGGTGCCACCATGGCCCGGTCACTCAGCTTTGCGCGCTCCAGCTGGAAACCGAGAAGCACTGCAGTGTCGGCTGGTCCTTCGCGCGTGTCGCAAGCGCCCGCCGGCTTGCATGCGCCATGCGCTCCCCGAACATCCCGGAGCATCGGCGCTGCGGTGATGGCATCGGGAGCTTTTAAGATGCTGGGTACGCGAAGGATGCTGCGGCAGAATGGCTGCAACAAGCTCCGCATATCATCTTCCGTGGCATGTAAGTCAGTTCTCGGTTTTGAGAGGCTGGGCCGCATTGTGCGAACAGCTGGAGAAGTGCGGCCAGCCAGGCCAGAGGGCTCGTGAGGGTTTCAAGGAAATGTGGGATGTCGCGGGTAGAAGACAGGGTGCCTGCTCTCCCAATCGGCTTCAAAGTGTCGCTGCTTGTCAGTGTGGCTGCTCCCGGCCTGCGTGCACGTGACCTGACCGATCCGACCACAGCGCTGCACCAAAGGCCCTTTGTTTGCAATTGTACTTCTGAGCTCGAGTGAGAACAGAGTCTTTGGACTTCTCCAAAGGGCTATCCGCAGGTTCAACATACCGTAGTGAAGAAGCGGGGAGTATCAAAAGCAGCGGGTCGGGCACCAACCAGACAGCTGTGGCATTTCAGGTATCGAAATCGACGGTCTCGAGAGAGCCCTGACCCAGAAAGGTACCATGACGGTACGCTGCAGTACACCATGGACAACATGGAGTGGGTGGAGCAGAAAGGCTTGACGTTTTTAGTGACGAGGCGGCTTTGAGGACTAAAGCAATGTCAGGCTTCAGCAAGGACGACCATCTATCGGACGAGCAGAAAGGTTCCTTGCGTGCCCAAGCACGAGTGCGCTTGGAACGGTGGCCTCGCTTGCTGGAAGAGGCATGGGCGGGGCATGCACGTATGTTGGCTTTGGAGGAAGAGGCTCGTAATGTCCTGACTCCGCGCCCCGGGGAGGACATGCAGCGAGTGCAGCATTGCGAGCGACAGTCTTTCTGTCCCGGGCCAGGCAGCATGTTTCAAAAAGGAGCTCGTACAGGGCATCGGGTGTATTTAGTTTGCTGGAGAGATAGTCGTCACTCAGCTCTAATCAGTCATTCGGCCTGTGCTTCCGTGGATCCGAATGACGCGAAGTTAGGCCTTATAATCTCAGAGAGAGAAAGCTGTTGGGGTCAGAATGTGTGGTCAGCAAGCGAACTTGTTTCGTGGGTGCTGCGGCCCAACCAAACTACAGATAGCGTCACCATGCTAGACTGCCGGGGGATGTGCCTCCTTGCCTATACATTTCTTTCTGGAGGTGGTTTTGCGCTGGGCGATCCGGGTGAGAACGTCTTCGTGATCAGCTTGGCCCGGAGGCCCGAGAAGCGCCAGAGAGTCCTGCAGCAACTGGAGGAGAATCAGTTGCGACTCGGAAGCACTTCTTGGTGTCGTCCTCTTGGCAGCCTCAGCAGGTGGATCTGTTTGGTACTGTGCGTGCCAAGTCCTTCTGAAAAGCACAGTCTTCCTTCAGGAATGCGACTCTGGTCAACGCTATAGATGGGGATGGGATTCTGTACCAACAGGACGTGGAGGCTGTTTCCTGCAACATGTCAGCTGAACTTGGGGGCAGGGGAGGGAATGGGGCTTGTTGGAGGCGCTTGGAGCCCGCATCCTGCCGGGATATGATGCCGGCTTCAGCAATCACAATATGCCTTACACCACTGGCGAGGCGGGCACTCAGTCTTCGTGTGCTACAGCTGTCAGCTCAATCGTCTTTGAGCCGGCAAGGTGGGTTGCTTCTTGAGCCACTACACTGTATGGCATCACATGGTGGAGCACAATATATCGACTGCCCTAATTCTGGAAGACGATTTCGACGTGCAGGAAGATTTTCGAGAACGATTAGGCCACGTGGGCTCGGTGCAGTTGTGAGTGTTGGACAAGTTTCTGCAAGCGGGTGTTCCAATGCTTGCAAAGGTTCGTACTTGGCCGAAGTCGAGGGTCTCGACTGGAACCTCATGTGGCCCAGCTTCGGATGTTTGTTCCCAACTTCCTTTGTCATCCGCTTTTGTTTCCATTATTGCAACATGCCCCAGACCCTGGTTATACTGCGTAATATTGCGCACAATCACACAGGCACGCGTGTATGCATGCATATATTAGCTGTACATACATGCATGCATGCATACATGTGCACACACACATACGTAAATACAAACATACACACACATATATATCTATGTCTATGTATATATATATATATATATGTGTGTGTGTGTGCGTGTGAATGCAAATGTATGTTGATGCATACATAAGCAATGCGGCATTAACACAGGTCGTGCATGTGTGCGTACACGCAGGTACACATATTTATGTCTATATATATATATATATAAGCATATACATGTATTTGTGAGTAGGTAGATTTTATATGCAAACATGTACTGTGGCGAGTGCGTGGGGCCAGCCGCATGCAGGTACGTGGGCAGGAGCCCCATGGAGAATGATGTCAGCAAGGTCTCGGAGCATGTGGTGCAACCGGGCTATACCTTGTGGACCGTCGGCTACATCCTCCGCCTGGATGCGGCGAAGCAGCTTCTGGAAACCCACGCTGAACAGCACATGTGGCTAGGTGTGGCATTCCAGGGTTGTGCCTTGAACTGTTACTACGGACAGAACTTCCCTGTAGCAGCCGAGGATTCCCTTGGACGATTTCTTTTCGGTATCAATGGGTTGTGGGATGGACGGACAGTACAACGAACGGGCTGTAGAATGGAGTGCGCAGATCCCCCCAATCATGCGAGGGCTGGCTTTCAACCCTCCCCTTGTCATGCCTTACGTGGGGTCTATGTTCAAAAGCGACACGGCCATGCTTCGGCCTGGGACACGTTACGTGCAAGATTTGCCGCCGCATGGAGATGATGTTGTTTCTCCTGATCCACGCTCTCGTGGCTTGGCCCCGGCTCATGCAACGGAGGCAAGCGTTCATTTTCCTGCCAGCACTGGTTCCCGCCGAGCATTGATGCCGAAGGAGTGGAGAGAGGCACTGGAGACTCTTGATGCGATCTACGCAACAGCTGCAAGATGATGACTAATGAGTCTCACCACATTGGGAAAATCGATGCACCCGACTCAGCGCTAAGACCTCATCAAGAGGGACGTCCTGGAGGCAAGCGGGCACCTGCCAGCTTCTGCCCGAAAGTGCTGCCTCTGCCTCGGCTGCGTAAGATCAGTTGTTCCTGTTCATGGCGAGGAAAGAGCCTGAACGAGCCACAAGACGACCGCATGAATGTTGATGCGGTTGCCTGCTGCGCATGAACGCAGGGGCAATCGCAGTCTGAAAGAACATGATGCTGGAATTTGTAACTACCCATAGGCGCAGCTTCATAAGATTCAGAAGCTGGGACTCCGGGGGGAACCTCTAGGTCAGCATGAGGGCTATCAAATTCCTTCGAGTTTCTTGGCATCCCGCCTTTGTTCGGCTTCCTATGGTAGAATGCCTGGCCTCAGAGGACATGTAAGACAACGCCAAGCACACGCACACACATACACAGTGCTGTACAGCACGAATACCTGCACAACCAGCAGGATCTGTACGCGACTGCACCATTCACAGGGGTTCGCTTGCGATGTCATGGCGATTGGTCAGATTAGCATATGCCAGGTTGAGGTTCGACTGTTTAAGCGGCGTCGTGCAGCTACTCATGGCGTCCGTTTACAGCACCGCGCTGATTAACATCATGCTTACAGCCCATGGTCCAGTTTTCAATAACCCCGTCAGAATCCAGGTTGCGAGTTGCCAACTTGCTGATGTAAGTGTTGCAGCACCCGTAAGTCAGCTAGCTTGTTAACACAGTTTAGCTGTCGAAGCGGATGGATAAAGCGCACTGTACCTCCTGTACTTTACATGCTGTGCAGCGGCGCGGTGAACATCTTGTCAACAGTGCCCAGTGAAATTGTAATGAGATTGTCATGAGGTTGTTATGGGTTTACTTACACTGTTACACCGGGCTTTGGTGGCGCGGATTGCTCGGCTTGTGGCAGCTACTGTAGTAGTCAGTCCGCCTGTCTGGAGCTCTGTTTTCGGAGCAATTCCAGAGGCATGGCGAGGCTTCGACTGATAGCGCATGACAAGGGTTTAACATAGAAGAAGTGGTCGACAGGAGAAGAGGAGCACACCTGGCTAAACGACCAGTTGGGCACTCGTTTCTTCGTTGCACCCGAATCGCAGCTGCACAGATCTTGGTCATGCCTGACCCCCAAACTATCTACCTCGGGCCTCGGGCTAGGCGGGCCGCATGTACCGTCGCAACACTGACTCTACCGGAGACACTGACCGGAGCTAGGGCTCCTGAACCGATGCAGATGACTCAAGACACAGAACGCCTCTGGGTCATCTAAGGAAGTGATCGACAAAAGCATCCCTTATGGCTGCAAGTGTGACTGCTGGTCCTTGGGTGTGATGTTGCACCTTAGCTCCAGTCGCTGGAACTACTAAGCTGAGCTGCCGTCGACATATGACATGTTGTGACATATGACCACAGGTATATCATTCTTACGGACGAACACCCATGCTCTCCTGATGCCCACAAGTTGGACACAGCAGGGCTCTTTGGGTTTCTCGGCTTCTGAGATTAGAGCACGGGCAGTTGTCACGTGTTCAGGCATTCTATTTCTCTCAAGTTTCGATCTGAGAGCTGTCTATGCAGGAAGATTCTAACCGGAAGAATTCGCTCCAGGCCGCTGCAGGAGACGCCAACTGTAGCTGCGAGAGATGTGAAGTTTCGTTTGCGGCCGCAAGGCCAAATGCGAGTAAATGGAACCTAGTTCGGATCCTGGTCCCCCGGACCCTTCAAGATCAGTTGATCCGCGGGGGCATGTACATCCGCGGGCATGCTCTGCGATCCGCCGCTGAGCCATACTGGACACAGGAGGCGGATGTGGACGATGACGCAGCAGAGCTCCTCTTTGGTCTTCTGGCGTCTCGCAGAACACAAAGCCAGATATTTTGAGTGGTGAGTTTGCAGTTTCGAGGTGTCTCTGGCTCCTAGCGGGTCCTAGCGGCTTAGTGTAGTCACTGTGGTCGTGCTGACAATGGCACCCTGGGCTCGCGCCACTCAGGAGAAGAACCCGGATGCTCGACGCTTGACCTGTTCGGAGAGCCCTTTCCCGGGTGTGCGTTGACACGTCGACATCCTTGAGAGCTGATTTTACCATGGCCATGAGTTGAAGAGTGGGTCAACACTTAACAGATATCACAAATGTTCCTGTTTGTAAACCCTGAGTCAGGTCTGGATGCGCAAGCTGCCTTGAGAAGTCCCTGGCTGTCTAGGGTGCAGGACCCCGTCTCGTGCAAAGAGCGCACATCCCTGAGCATGGTGCCGAAGGTCGTTGCAGAGCTGCCACAATGAAATGCTCGAATTTTGCACCGGGGCTTGTTTGTCTATCGTCTTGTTTGATGCAGCTTGAGGACTCGCGACCCAAGCTGCTGCATAGTCCATCGTCATCCGATCCAGACATCAAGAGCTCTCATCATCTGTCTCCCATATCGCACGGAGCCTTGCCGAGAACATGCTTCTGTAAAGAATGGAGAGAATGTATCAAACGTGCAGTTTGGCGCTTGCTGCATTGACTCGGAATGGTAGAGAAGTGGCTGCTTCTTGTGTTTCTGTATAACATGAAAAACGTATAGCTGAAATGCCTGACAACTTCATTTACAATACCGTTTGTGCATGCTCTGGCCAGTGCAATTAAGGACTGATTCGCCTCTTGGCCTGTTTAAGAGCTTTGAGACTTGAACTGCTTCTTTCCGCTTTTCCATTATTCTCCCCACGCACACACACGGCTGGCCCGCATTTTCTGAGGAAGGTTGGCAACCTTCCGGCACTACTCCAAGTTCGAGCGGGCGGTGCTTCTCCGGCAAGCAGGAAGTCCTTAAATGCCCCAACCGTGCTTTGCAAAAAAGTCCTCCGTTCCGTGCTTTGTGCCTACACGAGCGAGAAAATCGTAGCTTCTTCGGCGTGTGTCAAGACAGCTTGGTCGTCATGAAAAGGCGGTCAGCTACCGTCCGGCACTCAGCTCTCCGGAGCTTGCATCCACGCCGGAGAACAAACGAGATACGCCAATCAACTTAGTAGGAGTCGCGGGAACCATCTTCCCGCGCAGCAATTCTTGAAAGCCGCCCAAACTGCAACTCCATCCAGTTTCCTATCAGCTGCGGCAGCTCAGCCCAGAATCCTTCCAAGTTTCGTTGGTGCTTCAAATCGCTCCAACAAAACCCTGCTGGCCTCAGTCACTCAGGGCCTTGACTTCCGAGGCTTCCCGGCCGCTTTGATGCGACCTGTAATACGCTCCAGGTTCCGTGACATCTCGTGGAATCTCGCGTATTTGCATGTATATGCATTCTTCGCGCAAGATTCCTGTCAGCCAATTCAGTGGTCGTGGATGTGCCCCTTGCGCTGGCTGCGCACGGCGGCGATGCAGAGCGTCAAAGGCTGGTACCAGCTCTGCTGACAATAGTCGGTGTTGCCACAGCCATTCAGCTTGTGGTACTACGGCTTGCTGCGGCTAATCCCAGTCCACTTAAGTTTGTGCGTGTCGGCAGGTTTTCTGATTTCCTATTGAAAATACCGGACGAACCCGAAGCATGGGAATGCATCGGAAGCAACTTGCATGGACGGGAGCGACATCTTTTTTGCCGCCGCTAGGGCAAGCAGATGTTGTTTCACATGGTCTACCGGTCTGCCGGAGGCCAACTAAAACAGCAGAATAGCAACGGCAGGAAGGAAGGCGAGACTACCGTCAGGCGATACACCGCGAAGCCGGCCTCTCCCACAACAAGACGCAGCATTATGTCAGGGCTATCGCACAAAGCGGAAGGAAGATCGACGTCGCGCTCACACTGCGTTTTGAATTGGTCCCAGGTGCTGACGCTAGTGGCTCACCGGTCCGAGGACCTCTGCTTGCTGTGTCTATTCCACCAGTGACCCATGCTTGAGAACTGAGATGATCCAGGACACAACTGTAGCCGAGCTTCGGGATGCTTTCCACACGTTGGACGCGTCACAGTCAGGCCAGTGAGCTTTGAGCGCAATGCAATGCAAGTAGGGCCAGGGTGGGCATCAAAGTGCTTGCCTTTGAGAGCTAGGCTCGTTGAGCAAGAACGAGATCAAGGCACCGGGCCCACCTTTGACCGATTCGAGTACGATGCTGCGCACCCATCCATGAAACATATTCTGTGGAACTGAGGAAGGCATTTTCCGATGTGGTCATGTCGTGGAGGATGCGGAATTGACTGAAATTTTCTCGGCCTTGGATGCCGACGGCACAGGATCCGCCAGAGTCGAGAGCACAGGAAGTAGCCACAGTCCTCGTAAGTTCGCGTGCTGCTTGCGGAACGGTTTTTTGACTTTGACCTCTCTTCGTAGCACGTTCTCTGTCGCGCAGTCTTCTGCTCTGCCGGATTGTTTTGCCTGCTGCTTAGGCAGTTGTTCTCCTGAGTGATTCGTTTCCGGGTGCCATGTTGCTAAACTCGACTCTAATCGAACTTTGCCCCCGCGAGGAGGTACCTGTAGAATTCAGACTGCACGCTTCACCGATCTATGACGGCAGGAAAAGTTCACTACACGGAGTGGCTAGCAGCAACAATGCAGCCTTCTGCCTTGGCAACCGACAAGGCCATCAAGCAGGCTCCCCCGCATGAAAGGTTCGAAACTGCCCAAGCCTGTCTTTGTCATGCAACATGTGACACCTTCAGGTGTACCACTACCTGGACATTGATCAGACTGGTCATATAGCTCCCCATGAGCTTCAGAGGAAGCTACGGCTGCACAGAAGAGAATGCGGGTTACCTGTGTGGACTTGTTTGTCCCGTGCAGAGTGTCGTAAGACTGCCAAGCCCAGGGTGCTGGGTTGCAGTGACTCGGTGCAGAGTGTTCTGAAGCTTGGTGATACGGATGGTGACAGCCTGATTAATGAATCTGAGTTCCGACTCTTGGCAGCAATCTCTCGCACAGACTGAAGACAAGCCCACTCTTGATGTCTGATTCATTTTTGTTTGCAAGGTGTGCTCATGCGCAACTTGGCGAAAAGGCTCGACCAAATGGACCTTCATCCCAAAAGGCTTGGTTTTCATTTGCCTGAGGCAAACAGCTTGAATAGCATGCATCAACTTTAACCTTGCAGATCTTTGCAGCCTTTACCTTTGGTTGGATTGTATTGACACCGGCCACCGTCCACATCCTGACCGCCATTTCACTCGGTAAAGGTTGCAAGATCGGTTGCAGTGATATTGTTCGTGGCTTTTGCTTGCATCACATGTCCTCTTTTATTGGTGCCAAACAGGTGGAAGTCTCTAGTGAACTTTAGTCGCCATGTGATGCAAGCTCGGGCTTGGCACGGTCTCAGTGGCCGCACGCCTAACCACCCCAAAAGGTGTGTGAAGGCTGCGCCATCTCGAATTTGTGGCACAGGAACCGAAGCTATTGAGATATTGTGTTCATGGCCCACGCACGCCTTCATGGACCGTGTCAGTCTCTGTGCAAACGTCGCAGGAGTTTTGCTTTTCCTAGAGGGAAGGTTTTTGAGCCACCTGGCCAAGGCAGTTGTCTCCAGGTGCGCTCCAGCATAGAAACCACCAGGGCAGTTTGGCCAGCCAAGTGTGGAGAGACTTTAGTCACCTACATTACAAGATCTACGCCTCGGTTGTGCTTCACAGCTTGGCGATGTGCATTACCACCGCAGCCTGTAGATTCTGTATCCTGTAAAGAGACAGCAGTGTCGCTCACGCACTGCACATGGCAGTGTCCACGCGCCCTTTACGAAGGGTGCCCAAGATGGCACACTCCTTGCAGGCACACAGGAAGGCCTGTCGGTTCGGTAGCTAAGGTGCCGAACTGGCAGGCATGTCTGTGTGACAGATCCAGTCCGCGTGTTCCCCCAAGAAGACATGGGGCACATCCGATCGAGCACGCAGAGATGTCTGACTTCAAGTCGAAACAGATGCCCAAGATGCAAGGAAATTTTTGGCTCAGCAAAAGCTACTCCGAGAACTGGTCGCAGCTGAGCATTGTCCTTCCATGCTAGACTTCCGTCTAACGACATTCTGGGAGCTCGTCGTCATGGCACTAGAATGTCTTGAAAAGGGTGCGAGCGCAAATTGCAATCTGGACTGGCCCTGAATTGAAGGACCTACTAGTAACATCGACGACACATCGGCAAAGGATTTAGATGGCCACCCGCTGCCATGTGTAGACGCTGATGGTCTCTCATGATGTGCGTAAGGGGAGATCGGCGGTGACGGTGCTGCTCCTGGTAGCAGCCCATTTTAATTCCATGGAAGGCCAAGGGTTGAAACTTGACATGCTTGCGTCGAGTCCTAAGGCCGTCCTGGCTGCTAGCAGTGGAGCGGTCTTGGTTCGCTTGGCCCATGGTCTGCCGCCGCTGACAGCTACTTTGAGGCGAAAGGGGTGTAGCTGGTTGAGGCGCTGAGACTTTGAAAGGGCTCTGAATCTTAGGGTCTTAGCGACTATTGCAACGCGCTCAGGTCGCGTTTTGGCGAACGGGTCTCGCAGCCGTCGCCTTGCTGCCTTCATGGCGGTCTTTGGGCAGGCTGCTGATGGCACTTGGGTTTTAATACTTGCACCATCTTTTGCTGCTTCTCTTGGAGGAAAGACTCCGGCCTGGCAGGGCTGGCAGGGCTTGCCTTGGCTTGTCATTTCTGGACCTGGAGCCCTGTTTGCAAGACGGGGGATGACGGGGTGTCGCATGCAGAATCACGCAACCGTTCGGGTACGCAATGTTCTACGTAGCAACGCAAAGAACACACTGTCCAGGTCGTCGGGTCGTGGGAGTCGCAATTCCTTACAGATGACGAGATAACCAGTACGGTACACCCTGGCGGCGTGCATTCATCCAGCTTAAAGGGTCTGTCACACGGGAGCGAGGCTCGAGAGCAGAACCCAGAAAGACTGATAGGTTCGCATCACTGCAGCGGACTACAGTCGGTGACTTAGCATGCCCAGGCTGATATGCAAGACCACATACAGCTGGTGTCTCGAAATAGTTCGCCGATGAGGATGCGGAGTGAAAAAGCTCCAACTAGTCCTTCAAACGGCGACTTCCAAGGTGCTTCGCTCCACCTTGCTCGTGTCATCGACCCCTGTTTGGGCTGGACTTATCGGGTGCGTCACAGGCCGGGCCCTGGCCCCGCAAGATAAAGTGAGAAGTGTCGAACTGTCCTTCCATCAGGCCAGGACGTCCCTGGTTGGCGGTTCTGGTTCGGCGTCGGGATCGCCACCGCAGGTCATCCTGGTAGATGCTACATGTGAGTACCCCTGTGTCAATTGATTTGGTTCATGCAGGAGCGTGGTGCAGTGCTAACGCTGGTTTGACCGGTGGGGATTTCCTTGGCGACCTCCTGGCACTGCACCTTGATGGTTATGTGAGCATTTCGTCCAGGCGGTCCTTTTGCGGAGAGGTGCGGGGTCTGCGTGACTTAGATTCCTCATACGCTGTACCCCTGCGTGCCCCTAATACATTTGATACTCACAAATTACTTCTTGTACATTTGTCGGAGCTGGCAGTCTTCGCTTCTGTGCAGCCGGGCTATCACCTATCGCGCAGCTTCGAGCCTACTCCGGTACATGTAGTTTCCGTTAATTTGCACGAGGAGCAGGAGTTGGGGCGAAATACACACTGTCCTCCAAGGCTTGGGGCGATGTTCTGCGCCATATACTTGTCGAGCCACGGCTGATGCTTGCAGCTGTGAGAATAGACAGCCTTGCCACGCAGCCCAAGCTGGGGCAGATCCTAGGATTGGGCGAGATGTGCGACAACGTGTGGGCATCGGCTGCTACGGCACTCGCATTTGTGGAAGTTGTGCCACGTGCCTGGCCATCGTCGCGGTCGTTACAGGAGCGTGCCGAACTTGTCGTTTCAGGCTGTGTAACGGCTGTGTATGTACTTGGTACTTTATTTCATGCGGTAGTGTGGCCTCCTTCTCACTCTCCGGCTTCACCTTGAAAGGAACCTCTTTGTGGCCGACTTGCGCACGCCAATGGCTTGCAGTCTGTGCGCTCGCGGCCGGGCCACAGCTTACTGGGCACATCGGCTTCAACTTTGCATTGCATCACTTGCCTGCATGGACAGCGCCCTGGCAAGCTTTGAGCCGCGCATACGAATCAAAACTGACGGGCGGATCGCATCAAGTGTCCAGGGCTTTCTGCGAGCAACAGAGTCGAGACTGTTTCTGTTCGACAAGGATCCGTGCCGAGGTCGCAGCTGCTGGCCTACTGGAACCTCTTGGAGCTACGCTGCTTGCTGCGTTGCTTCTCGGAGAGGCCGGGGCAGTCCGACAAAGCGGCAGAGCAGAGAGACAGGAAAGGACAGAGAGGAAAACGCAAATGGTAACAAGAGACTGAGAAACATCGAGAGATAATGATGCAAGAAAGGTGACTAGAAGAAGACACCGATGAACGCAAAGGCATAGTTTCAGAGACAGAGAGGAAGGGAAAGCAGAGACTTGTGAACGTGCTGCATGGGGTGCATGCGTGAGCGAGAAGGGTATGGAAGGAAGGCGACTGGAGAGAACAGTCCCGCAAAAGGGATTCGCAAGGTGCTCGGTGTGTGGGCCGCATGCAGGCAAACGCGGTCGTGCCCACTGCTCCTTTCTGCCTGCTTTAACCGGAAGACAGAGAGAGAAGAGAGGGGGGAGACTGTGTCGGGAATGCACTTTTAAGGCAAAGTTGCCAGCTTTGTCGCTTTTAGGGCTGCGCCCGCGCCCACAAGTCCGCGAATGACATTGCATGCCGGAAACCGCTCGGGAAAGAAAGCGATGCCAGAGCGCAGGGCACACGACTGTGCCTCCAGACCCCAAGAAACAGCTTTCGTCCTAGTTGAGTGCCGGATGTTCCTGGAGACAGCCAGAAATTATTAGGATAATAGGACATAGCATAGTCAACAGGACGCTTTCCTCACAATATCGATACTTGAGGTGCCCACTGCCAATCAGATCTTTGGTGCCGTCATTGTCGTGGCCGGCCTTGCTGTCATCTGATACTCCCACGACTACACCAACTTCCCGCAAAGCATCGGCACTTTGGAGGTAAGTCGCGGTTCCGGTGGCGACAAGGGGCATTGAGAGGCATGGCTGCAGTTGTCAGGTTGTTGGTCATGCGTCATTTGATATATGGAACAATTTGATCCGCATTGTGTGGTAGATGTGTAGGTTAGCAGGAAGGAATAATGTGAACATAATTGTTTTATTCCCACATTACTTCTGGGGGGACGAGTGCCAGGGGTGGAGTGCGAGAATGCAGCCTTCCTTGGCACCGTCCGTAACCCTTGATTCTAAATGTTAAAGTAGAAGCCTGAAACCCTAGACATGAACCCTGGACCCTAGAACCTATACGGTGCGACTCCCAAAGCTCGAACATGTGAGGCCTTATAGAGCCTTAGGGTATACCCTAAGCCCTGAAACACTAAACCCTGCCATTTTGGCTCAAGAAGGAGCTGGCCCAGGTAGTCGAAACTAACGCAAAACCCTACAAACACCTGGTGAATTAGCTGTGATCTAACCCGGGACTCCCTTGAGCCGTGCTACTGCCCTCTTGCTTGCGACCCTGGCGCCGCTCTCTCTCTTCTTTTGCCCTCCTGACCCCTTCTGCATGATGACTGAGGACTCCACTGTCCCTTTCGGACCCCCTGATGATGTGGGTGCGGGGCTCAATCGCTTGCTCCCACCGGATGATGCTGATGACGCCATGGGAGGAGTTGACAATCGAGGTGCTGCGGGGGGGGAAACAGCGGTGGATGATCCTTCTCAACGCGGTCCTCCGACAGAGGATGCGGCACAAAGAGGGAGACGACCGGAGAGAGGCGGATCACATAGGTTACCNNCCTTGCTGCTGCCTTGGAACCTACAGCTGATGATGCACGTAGGGAGGTGAGCCTTGATAGCGCCCGGAACTTCCCCCCTAATGAGAGTCCTGAGAAGAAGCCCCGATTGGGAGTGGGCACATCCAAGATGCCTGCTCCTGCGTCCTCAGCTAGGTACCCGCATTTCGGTAAAGACAATGACCACTACCCGCCCCTTTTTCACGGCACAGGCGGTGCCGTGGTTTCGGACTTAGGACCTGCAGCCCCTGCCCGAGTACCTGAAGCACCCCCTGCCCCTCTACCACAGGCCACACTCCCAGGACACACATCGCCAGGACATCCCGTGGCGACCGTAGGGCCGGGTGCACTCCGCGCCCCTCAGGCACTGTCACCTGAACCGGTTCAGGTGCTCCCTGAACGCTTCCATATGGATGAGCCCTCTTGGGTTAATGGACTCAGGAGTGAGTTGCGTGAGTTGGTTACCACACAGAAAAGCATGGCAGTCCAGATGGAGGAATCAGGCCGCAACCTCAGACTTCTTCAGTCAGACATTCGTCACTTGGGGGCAGGCCAGGAAGGACTGGCACGCAGGGCTGATGCACAAGATACTGCACTTCAACAGATGAGAGAAGAGATGAAGGAGTTAGAGCGAGAGCTGGTTACTCTTAAGAGTGCCCCCCCATCTCGTTCCACCAGCCCCGCCCCGAATCGCGGTGGGGCAAGCCGAGAGTTCAGGGGTCGCCCTCTGCGGGAGGCAACTCTGAGGTTGATGAACTCCAGATTGTGATTGGTGGGTGGAAGGAATGTAAACGAGAGCTTATCGAAGAAGACGTTAGAGAGATGTTCCATAGAATGGACGGGAACGCCCTGATCAAGCGAATTTATGTGCCGTACGTTCGCTGTGGGTACTGTAGAGTAGAGCTGAATTACCCCGAGAATGATGTTTGGAAACAGAGAAAGCTACAGGGGATCATTGTGCTTGCGCTGAAGGACCTCAAATACACCTCGACTGCGGACGGCCAACAGCATTGCAAGTTTTGGGCGGCAAGGAATAGGTCCATACAGGAGAGAGCCAAGATTCGTGCCATCCTTTCCACTTATGAGTTGTGTGTGCGTCATGTAGGGCAGTCATGTGCTGATAAGGATTGGCGTGGGAAGGTTTGGGTGGGCAACGTACAAGTCCTTCACCATGTTGAAACTAGGGATCGACGTGACGACACCTTAATGCTCCTTGATGCGCGCGGTAATGAGACGGGGTGGTACCTGGACCTCCAGCAAATCACTGCCTGTCTTGGAGTGAGTAAGGACAACATTTTGGCGCACTTTGGCGCCCTATAGGAAGCAGGGAGGGAGGGCAACTTTCGGCAGGCGGCTCCACTCGAGCTAACCTGCTACACATGGAATTTACACGGCAAGGGCACGCAACATGTGTCCACGCTCATGCATGGTTTAGATAGGCCGCCAGACGTGATGTGCCTTCAGGAGGTCGGTGATGTTAGGAATTTAGGCGAAGGAAGTTCCAAGAGAGACACTGAGCTGGTGGCGGGAAGGGAGTACGAGGTCTTCTTGGCCAATCCTCTGCTCTCGCACAGGTGCTGCGCTGTCTTGGTTGCGTTGGACAGTGAATTTGTTTGCAAGACTATGCATGTGCATGACTTCGGATTAATTGTTAAGGGCACCATGCATGACACGCCATGGCTGATCGCAAGCCTGCATTTTCCGCACCAACAACGACGTGATGCGGTTGAAGCGTGGGAACAGGGAGTTGCGAACTTGATGCTGCAGCTTTCAGGTCTGCCATGGAACGTTAATTTGCTGCTAGGTCACGACTTGAATCAAGATTTGCATGCAACATGTGACGAATTTGTTGGCATGATGCACTATCGTGAGATGGTTTTCCGAGCAGGGCTACAAACGAGTCCCCCGCTGGGGGACACCTGGGTAGCCAGAGGCTCATCCTCGGCAATTGACTTCTTTTTGTACCA